GAGGAAAAGAACTAAAAAAAGGTCTGGGAAAAATCGAAGGGGATCCGGGGAAGATAGAAATGGAGAACCTGGGAAACCCCTAAATTGGCGGCGAAGGTATGCAATTGTACTGGATTTCATTGATTTTCTAGCACTGCATATTGGGTATTATAAACAACCAAAAGCAACAAGCTTTCTTCAGGCTTTCAACAATGGAGATGGTCGGTTTAGAGAGAGAAAAGGCAACAACTTACTTTGAAAATCTCTCAAAATTTCCTCTCAAATGCGTGAATGGATGGAAGATAGGGTGACTTGCTTTCCTAACCAAGCAATGCCCAATGATTTGTTGCATGAAATTCCAAGTTTGGTAATGATTTGAAGGAGTCAAAGCGTGGATTTTTCACAGATGAGACCGACAGGCTTGTGGAGTTTGGAGGCTTTTGATAATTTAGGAGAAAAAATCATGTCTCAGAAAATGGTCCATTGCCAAATCATCAAAAGTTTAACGGGCTTGTCTTACAAATATATTTACGATTTGTGTTCAAATTCAATTTAAACTAATTCTGTTGTTTGTTTTTCTGTTTCTAATTTTCTTCGATTTCCTCTATTTTTGTGTAATCACTGTATCCTATTACTTGTATATATATAATTCTCAGGGGTAATGAAAGTGATATAAAAAAATTCCACCAGATTTTACAGTTTGCAATGCATTTGACGAAGATACAGCGTGTTGCGTTATAATTAAATTTAAGGTGATTTATTTTAATAATAAATTTATAAATAAATTTATTTTAACATAGAAATAGGTAAGTTGAAAATTTAAAAAAAAAAATGATGGACGGATATCATTAACCTTGAAAAGTACAAAGCTTAAAATACCCATTTTCGCCCACGTTTTCATGGGGACAAGAGTAGGTAATTAAGCAGTCAACACTAAGCAGCAAGTTAATGGTCTTCCATGGCGTGTTCCAGCTTCCAACATCCCACGAGCTCATTTTTTGCATGTGTTGTTGAATTCTGCAGGTCCACTCTAACTTGTTAAAATTCGTCAAACCAGTATCCTCCTTAATCTTTATCCGACCCTATACTAGCCTTAATTTGATAGCACTGTTACGTAATTATAGTCGTAAATTTTTTTGATTCTTTAATATTTTAAAATATATAAAATTTATTTAATATATTTAATATTTATTTTAATTAATATTTTATGTTTCAAATAATAAAAATATAAAAATTAAAAATTAAAATATTAAGCAACATTCTTAGACAAAACTTAAATCAATGCCTTCTCCTTTTTATTTATTTTTATTATATTATGTTCGAATTACGAAGAATGAAAAAAGAAAAAAAAAAA